CTCCTGGTGCTGGAGCTGGTGGTGCTGCTGGTGCTCCTGGAGCTGGAGCTGCTGCGTCTTCGGGTGGTCCGACTGGAGCTGGAGCTACTGGGGGTGTTGGCACTGGAGGTGCTACTGGCGCTGGTGCTGCTGAGGGTGCTGGAGTTGGCGCTGCTGGAGCTGGGGGTACTCCTGGTGCTGGTGCTCCCGTTGGGGGTGCTGGTGCTGTTCCTGCTGGCACTGGTGGCGCTGCGCGGCCACGGCCGTACTTCGTTCCGCTCCTTGAGCAGGTTCTTGGTCTTCCGTCCTCTCTTGGTCCTGCTCCTCCCTTAGCGTGTCCGCCTCCTGTCCAGTCTGAGTCACAGTTACAGCCAGCCTCCCCGCTTCCTTCTCCTTCTCCCTACACTGGTCCTACTGGAGGTCTTGCTGAGCGTCGTGAGCCTGCGTCTCGCCCTGCGTCGCCTGTCCGTGCTGCTCGCACTAGTGGTCGTGGTTCGCGTCAGCGTCCTCCCCCTGTCCCCGGCACGCACCGGATGTCTCTGCGTCCTTCCACTGCTCCGCTGCGTGCCCCTTTGCCTTCTCCTCCCGAGTCCTCTCTTCCTGCGCTTCCTGACCCGGAGTCGGACTCCCTTCGTGCTGCGCGTCCTACTGTCACGCGTCTCCTTGCCACTGTCATCATTGACCCTTCCTTTGAGTCTACTGCTGCGTCTGCCCTAGTTGCTGAGCTTGTCGACTTCGCTGCTCGCTGTCGCCTTGACTACGCTGCCAGTCTCGTCGCTGAGTCTGAGTCTGTCTGTCCTCCGTCCGTCGGGGGTGAGTGTGCTCTTGGCACGGACGTCCTTGAGGACAGGCAGGAGGAGTTCCAGTGCTTGGCTGCTGCTTCACCTCATCTCGTGTCCATGCTGCTTGGTCATCTCGTGTCCCTGAGGGAGACCCGGATGCACTTGACATCCCGACTCCGCGCTCTTACGCGGAGGCGATAGAGGGTCCCTACTCCTCTCAGTGGCAGGCAGCCATGGACGCAGAGATGGCTTCCTGGAAGTCCACAGGCACCTACGTTGACGAGGTTCCCCCGCCTGGGGCGAACATCGTCAGTGGCATGTGGATTTTCAGGGTGAAGCGGCCGCCGGGTTCTCCGCCTGTCTTCAAGGCGCGTTACGTGGCTCGTGGCTTCAGTCAGCGACAGGGAGTTGACTACTTTCAGACCTTCTCTCCCACCCCGAAGATGACCACTCTTCGGGTACTGCTGCACATAGCTGCTCACCGAGACTACGAGCTGCACTCTCTTGACTTCAGCACAGCTTTCTTGCAGGGCAGCCTGCACGAGGAGATCTGGCTGCGCCGCCCACCTGGCTTCACTGGGACTTTTCCTCCTGGCACCCAGTGGAGCCTCAGGCGGCCAGTCTACGGTCTCCGCCAGGCACCTCGTGAGTGGCACGACACACTGAGGACTACACTTGCGGCTCTTGGGTTTGCTCCTTCTACTGCCGACCCGTCGCTGTTTCTGCGCACCGACACCTCTTTGCCGCCGTTCTACATCCTCGTGTACGTCGACGACTTGGTCTTTGCTACAGCTGACACTGCTGGACTCGCCTACGTGAAGTCCGAGCTGCAGAAGAGACACACGTGCACAGACCTGGGTGAACTGCGCAGCTACCTTGGCTTGCAGATCACCCGGGACAGAGCACAGCGCACCATTACCCTGACTCAGTCACACATGGTGCAGCAGGTCCTTCAGCGCTTCGGCTTCACGTACTCCTCGCCTCAGTCTACTCGCCACTCGCTCTCAGCTCTGCCTTCGGATGAGTCCGTAGAGTCGAGTGGCCCGTACCCAGAGCTTGTTGGCTGCCTCATGTACCTGATGACCTGCACTCGACCTGACCTTGCATACCCTCTTAGCATTCTGGCACGCTATGTTGCTTTTGGGAGACACAGACCAGAGCACATGGCTGCAGCAAAGAGGGTGTTGCGCTACTTGTGCAGTACGTCGGGCATGGGGCTTGTGCTTGGAGGGCAGAGTCCAGTGGTCCTCATTGGCTACGCAGACGCTTTTTGGGCTGACGACCAGGCTACGCAGCGGTCGTCACAGGGTTACACCTTCAGCCTTGATTCCGGCTCTGTTTCGTGGCGGTCTACCCGCTCGTCTTCTGTTCTCGGCTCCAGTTGTGAGGCTGAGATCTACGCAGGGGCCATGGCTGCACAGGAGCTACGCTGGCTCACCTACCTGCTGACTGACCTGGGAGAGCCGCCTCGTTCTCCTCCAGTGCTGTACGTAGACAACAAGGCCATGCTGGCCTTGTGTCGGGAGCACAGACTGGAGCACAGAACGAAGCACATCGCTCTTCGCTACTTCCTTGCTCGTGAGCTGCAGCAGCGTGGTCAGCTGCGCCTTGCGTACGTGGCCTCTCAGGCCAACACTGCTGATATCTTCACTAAGGCACTCGCGCCTTGTGATCATCAGCGCTTCTGTACTCTGTTAGGTCTTGTGCCTACCTTGCCTCACTTGCTCACTTCTTGACCTTGCTTGTACTGTTACATATATATATATACCTGCTCTTGCTTGTTTAGCGTTATATATATGTAATCTTGCATGTGAACTGGCCTTGTGGCCTTGAACTTGTGCTCAGAATGTGTGGTGACATTGAGATCCACCCTGAGCTTGCTTTGCTTTGCTTGACTGGTCTTGTGACCCCTGGTTCCCTCACTTTGCCTATGGGGGTGTGTCAAACATTATATATGTTGTAGCTTTGTAGGCTACAGTGGGTTTAGCCTTAGGGGGTACACAATTCTAGGGTTTCATATTTGTACTCCCATTCTTGCTAGTCACACCATTCCTCGTTTCTTCACATCCCCCTCCTGGGGCGAACATCGTCGATGGCATGTGGATTTTCAGGGTGAAGCGACCGCCGGGTTCTCCGCCTGTCTTCAAGGCTCGGTACGTTGCTCGAGGCTTCAGTCAGCGTGAGGGAGTCGACTTCTTCCAGACCTTCTCCCCCACCCCGAAGATGACCACTCTTCGGATGCTGCTGCACGTTGCCGCTCAGCGTGACTACGAGCTTCACACTTTGGACTTCAGCACTGCCTTCTTAGAGGGCAGCCTGCACAAGGAGATCTGGCTGCGCCGCCCACCTGGCTTCACTGGGTCGTTTCCTCCTGGTACCTAGTGGAGCCTCCGGCGGCTACGCTCTCCGCCAGGTGCCTCGTGAGTGGCACGACACACTGAGGACTACACTTGCGGCTCTTGGGTTTGCGCCTTCGACAGCTGACTCGTCGCAGTTTGTGCGCACCGACACTTCGCTGCCGCCGTTCTACATCGTCGTGTACGTCGACGACTTGGTCTTTGCCACTGCTGACACTATGGCACTTGCCCATGTGAAGTTGGAGCTACAGAAGAGACACACGTGCACGGACCTGGGTGAGCTGCGTAGGTACCTTGGCTTGCAGATCACCCGGGACAGAGCACGCCGCACCATCACCCTGACTCAGTCACACATGGTGCAGCAGATCCTTCAGCGCTTCGGCTTCACTTGGTCCTCGCCACTGCCCACTCCTATGGCTACCGGTCACTCGCTCTCAGCTCCACCTTCAGACGAGTCCGTAGAGCCGAGTGGCCCGTATCCAGAGCTTGTGGGCTGCCTCATGTACCTGATGACCTGCACTCGACCTGACCTTGCGTACCCTCTTAGCATCCTGGCTCGCTACGTTGCGCCTGGGAGACACCGGCGAGAGCACTTTGAGGCTGCTAAGAGGGTGCTGCGCTACTTGTGCAGTACATCGAGCATGGGGCTCGTGCTTGGAGGACGGAGAGACGTTGTCCTCACTGGACACTCAGACGCTTCTTGGGTTGACGACCTGGCTACGCAGCGGTCATCACAGGGTTACACAGCTGAGGACCTATTCCTATTGCTAGTGTAGGTACTTGTGCTTTTAGTGTAGGTGCTTTTATAGTCACTAGTCTAGCCGTGACGACTGCTGTTACGTCACTCTCCTTCACGTTGGACTCAGGCGCATCCCAGTGCTTCTTTCGCGACCATAACACTGTGACACCTCTTTCGACTCGAGTCCCAGTTGCCCTGGCTGATCCTACTTCAGGACCAGCAGTTGCTCGCAGCTCGACCACTCTCCTGTCCCCGGCTGTCCCTTCTGATTTCCTCACTAGTCTTTACATCTCCTCGTTCTCTCGGAACTTGGTAGGTGTTGGATACCTTCAGGACCGTGGGATCATAGTCACTTCTTTTCTGCGCACAGGAGGACGGTGACCTGTACGGATGCTTCCATCGGGTGCACTTCTTACCACGTTCATCAGAGAGCCCCACTCTGGTCTCTTCTTTCTGCACACTGCATCCCACCAGGTGGCAGAATCTGGTCACGTTACTACGTCCTCCCAGGTAGCTGAGTCCAGCCAGGTTACTGCATCCCTACAAGTTGCTGTGTCCAGTCAGGTTGTTGTGTCCGGTAAGGTTACTATGTCCGGTCTAGTTGCTGCGTCCTCCTTTTGTCGGTCACTCTCCCACCCGACACAATGTCTTGTGGCACCACCGTCTTGGGGCACCCGTCCCTCTCATGCCTCCGTAGCATGGCCAGCCAGTGTCTGGTCTCCAGTCTCCCGCGGGTCTTTGAGTCGCTCCCCGGTTCGCCTGTGCCGCAGTGCACTCCTTGCGTCGAGGGTCGTCTGCACGCCATTTCTCACTCCTCCCTTCGTCCGGCCACCGCTCCCTTCGAGACTCTCCACTTGGACGTCTAGGGCCCAGCCCCTGGTGCTGGGCTCGAGCAGGAGCACTTCTTTCTAGTGGTCGTTGACGACTACTCCAGGTACACCACGGTGTTTCCTCTCGCGAAGAAGTCTGAGGTAATTTCTACGCTGATCCGGTGGCTCTTGGTCACTGAGGGCACTCGTGGTAGTCACGCCAGCTGTCTCCACTCCGACCGTGGGGGTGAGTTTCGCTCCGACGTACTTGCCGGGTTCTGTGGCGCGCAGGGCATCACACAGTCTTGGACGCTTCTAGAGTTCCCACAGCAGAATGGGGTTGCTGAGTGCCGCATTGGCTTGGTCATGGAGATTGGCCGCACCTCCATGATCCATGCCCGTGCGCCCCATTTTCTGTGGCCCTACGCGGTTCGCTACGCCGCTCACCAGCTGAACCTCTGGCCTCGCGTCTCACGACCAAGGGGCTTCACCGACCCGTCTTTGGACCGGGTCACCTGGTGTTGCGTCGGAGTTTCGAGTCCGGGGCTGCCTTGCACTTGTTCACGACACTCTACAGACAAGCTCTCGGCTCGCGCCATCCCTTGTGTTTTCCTTGGTTTCCCGGTGGGCTGCTCTGACTACACTTTTTACCACCTGCCCCTCCACCATTTCCTAGACTCACGTGACGTCCGGTTTGACGAGTCTGTATCCTACTACACCCGGTACCCCTATCGAGGTCTCTCGGTCCCCCCTCCTCCTCTTTTCCGAGCACCTTCTCCTCCTCCTGCTCCCGCTCCTCCGGTACCCCCGTTCCCCCCTGGTCCTGCCCCGTCAAGTGTGTCTCACGCTACCCCTCTACCCTCGGTCGCGCGTCAGGTGTCTTCTTCCTCCCCGCAGTCCTCCTCACAGTCCGCTCAGCAGCCGTCGACACGTCCGCGACAGGATACTCTGGACTCAGGGGGTGCTGGAGCTGGAGGTGCTGGCACTGGAGGTGCTCAGTTCGAGGGTGCTCCTTACAGGGGTGTTGGAGCTGGAGGTGCTGGCATTGAAGGTGCTAGTTTGGGGGGTGCTGGAGCTAGAGTTGTTGACACTAGTGGTACTAGTTTTGGGGGTGTTGGAGCTGGAGGCGCTGACACTGGAGGTGCTAGTTCTGGGGGTGCTGGAGTTGGAGGTGCTGGCATTGGAGGTGCTAGTTCTGGCAGTGCTGGAGCCGGCGGTGCTAGTTCTGAGGAGACTGGCGCTGGAGGCACTACTACTGCGCCTCCCCACCGCCACGACACACGTCTCCAGGCGGCTCGCCGCCGTGAGCGTGAGGAGAAGGAGCGGTTGGAGCGGGAGAGGCGGGAGCTGCAGCAGTTGGACTTGCATGAGCAGGAGGAGGTGGAGGAGGAGGAGGAGGAGGAGGAGGAGGAGGAGGAGGAGGAGGAGGAGGAGGAGGAGGAGGAGGAGGAGGAGGAGGAGGAGGAGGAGGAGGAGGAGGAGCAGCAGCAGCAGCAGCAGCAGCTCCAAATGCAGCAGCGCCAGCAGCAGCAGCAGCAGCAGCAGCCGTTGCAGCACTAGCAGCTTGTGCAGCAGTGGCAACAGCAGCAGCAGTCGCATCAGCCGCCACTTTAGCAGCAGGTGTTCCCATTTGTGAGTGGCCTTCGGGCCCTTGAACTTCCTTCCTCTCCTCCTGCCCTCTCACAGTCTCCTACTGCGTACGGTCCTACGTTTCCTCCTCCGGACTCCGGTTGTTTTCTCTCCCCCTTGGTCACCATCGCCTCCTCCTGTTGCCTCGCACGACTGAACCACTCGTTGTCCTTTGCGTTCTCGTCCCTCGTCTCCTTCTTGCGACCTCCGCACTGTCTTGTTTCGTTCTAGTCCTCGACATTCTCCCACTGTGTCTCTTCTCCCGTCGCCTCCACCAGTCGTCTCTTACAGCCTCCACCTCTACCCCTATCTCTGACTACTACCGTGCTGCTCGCCCTATTGTCACACATGTTTGTCGCGGACTCTCGTGCCTCTCCGTCGTCTATCTCGGCTCATACTGCTGCTATCATTAACTTTGCCGCCACCCGCCGCCTTGACTATGCCACCTGCGTGGTGGCTTCTCCTCCGCCCAGGGGTGAGTTTGCCCTTGGCTGTGACGTCCTAGAGGACATGCGGTTTGAGCTGAAGTTTTTGGCAGCTGCTTCCCCCTCTCTGAGTGCTGTGCTACTTTCCCCTGAGGGAGACCCCGACGCCCTTGACATACCGGCTCTTCGCACGTACCGCGAGGCAGTGTCAGGGCCGTGGGCCTCTCAGTGGAAAGTGGTCATGGACTTAGAGATGACGTCTTGGAAATCCACAGGCACGTACGTCAACGCAATTCCCCCTCCCCTGATCACCACCAGTGTTCAAGGTGTGTTATGTGGTGAGGGGCTTCAGTCAGCGTGAGGGAGTTGACTTCTTTCAGACCTTCTCCCCGACCCTTAAGATGACTACTCTTCGGATGTTACTTCAAGTAGCAGCAAAGCGAGACTACGAGCTGCACTCCCTCGACTTCTCCACTGCTTTCCTTCTTGGACGACTGGACGAGGAGATCTGGCTGCGACGTCCTCCTAGCTTCAAAGGCATCTTCCCACCTGGGACCCAGTGGAGCCTGAGGCGACCAGTCTACGGTCTCCGCCAGTCGCCTTGTGAGTGGCACGACACTCTACGCTCCACACTTTGTGACCTTGGATTTCACCCTTCTTCTGCCGACCCATCGCTGTTTGTTCGCTCCGGCTCACTCCATTCTTTATCCTGGTCTACGTCGATGACTTGGTCTTCGCTACAGCTGACAGGAGAGCTCTGTTTGAGGTGAAGACTGAACTGCAGAACTCACTTTACGTGCACTAACCTCGGTGAACTGCAACTCTACCTTGGCCTGCAGATCACCAAGGACAGAGCTGCTCGCACCATTACACTCTTATCACTGGGCATCCATGAGTTTGTATAATCATCTGTAGACCACACGAACACCATTCTCCCGAAAAGGATGGCAACCTTGAGCTCTCCGATATGGCTGACCTACGCTTATTGGAATCCGGCATTTCATGAAGCCGCCTTATCAGTTGACACTGTTACTATTACCAGCAGCATCGCCATGACGCGAGCTCTCGAGATACCACTTATGTGTCCACTCAACGGACATTGTACCTCTTGTTACAATGGCTAACCTCGATGCTGACCTGGCAGTCTCTGATTTCAACGCACTTAACTTATGTTATAAGGATTCATAATCTCTTATTGAGTGTGTTTCGCCTGGGAAGCTCAACTGGTTTCATATTACGTTTTTTAAGAGTCTGATCTCGAGAAGGACGCCTAGATTTTACCTTGTCACCATCAACAATAGAGCTGCGCTACCATGGATCTACTTAAGCACTTGTTGCTCAGGTTAGCAGCACATCATTTTCTATTTCACTCGGCCATCAACGCTACGCTGCTGCTCTATCATCATCACAACATGTTGCCATTTGATGCGACAAATGGTGTCCAGGAGAATGTTGAGAACACTGACTCTCCTGCATCAGACAAGTTGTCAGTGAAGAATAATGAGGGTGGTGGCGACAACGGCAAGCAAGCTGACATGGGAGCTGGCAACTCTGGCTTATCTGCTGCCGAAAAGGCATTTCCGCTTACCGATGATCTACTTGATGATGATCCTGATGATGAACTCAAGCTTGATGTAAAGCATGAGGTTATGTCTCGTCTCCACTTCACAGACGTTTTGTTGGTTCCTTTCATTCTGCAACATGAAATGGGTTTTGTCATCGCGGTTGTCAAGACACTGTTGAAGAAAGTGTGGTCGAAGGACCTATTGCCTGAAGGATCTGCTTCACCGTTAGCTTAGACTCCTTTTCCTGCTTTCGTCGTGAAGACAAAATTCTGTCGCCTTCAAATCTCGCTCCTGCATGAAGCTGACATCAACATCATTTGTCAGAAGAAGGTTGATGACAAAAGGGCGAATGGCAACGGCGCTCCCCTAAAACTGTTCTGGCAACATACGGAGGACCCAGGCTTTCTCAGGGAAAACTTGCTTAATCCTTTGGCTATTTAGGCTGTTTTTAAGAACGTACCTGCTAACATTTCTCCTGATCTGCTTAAGAACTTGCTGGCCCGCTATAAACTGAAGATCAGCCAGCAACCGCCATTTTTGGAAGGAAAGCATTTCCACCGTGTTTTGCACCCAGTTACAAGAGCTGATACTGAGATAGTCAAAGGCATGGTCATTCCGCACCCGGGGGACATTCACAAATGGAGACAGGTGGTGAACATTCTGGCAGACAATGGCAGGAAGATTCTGGTCCACTACCCTTAGCTGCCCTGCTCTCTCTGTGGAGGACATCATTATGACTCAAATCATGATATGTTCATTACGGAGCGGCAGAATAACATAGGGAAATGGCACCTCACCTTGGGAAGGGTCCATAGGATTTTTAGTAACCGTGGTGTCACTTTGCATCCGCAGTCCACAATTTTGCCTTTATTCCTCACCTTTTTTACTAACGCCTGTGTCCATTGTCGCAGCTGCATCTCTGCACACCTCCCCGCTGGTCACGCCTATTCTTCAAGATCCTGCGATTGCACTGATTTCCATGGGCTGCAACAGGGAAGAGTGGATTTGTACGCAGACGGGCTATGGGAAGGCAAAGGGGGGGTCATTAATGTCAGCATCAGACCGTGTCAAGTCAGCAAACCACCTCCTTCAGCTGGAAAAGATGGGAACTGCGACGTGTGTCACCTTGGAGAAGGCCACCCTTGCCTTGCTCAAGAAAGATTATGGTCTCTAGCTGCCTAATCAGCAGCAGTAGCAGCAGCAACAGCAGCAGCAGCAGCAATATCAGGTCTCTTGGTAGTCGGTCTTATTGCAGCTCTCAGCCTGTGGGTGAATAAAGGTTGCCAAGGAGTGATTGAATGAGTAATAAAAATATACCGTCTTTCGCAGGCCTGAGTGTGAATGGGCTCGGAGATATAACGAAGCACTTATGGGTCACATCATGGATGAAAGAAGCAGCGGACATCAACATCCTCACATACACAAGACTAGAGGAGAGTCATTCTTACTGGAACAAGCTAAGCTCAGCTTCTGTAGTAGCAGTCACGCCTCGGGAGAGAGCCAGAGGTATAGTAGTCGTCGCCTGGGACCCTGGTATACAGTTCCGAAACACATTGACTCACCCGTCGGGAAGACTCATTAGGACAGAGGTAGCAGGTAAAGGTCTCTCCATCACTCTTTTAGCATCATCCCCAGCAGCTTGAATAGGTTTCATTAGGGACGTCGTAGGACCGGTAGTAGTATCTGAACATGATAGACGACCCCTTCCTAGACAAAACGTCAAGGGCTGGCTCAGCGGCTGGGAACATCAAACTGGTGCGTAGGTGCGGGAATTTCTAGATCTCGGACGCCTTCCGTACTCTACATCCTAGCAAGAGGGAGTATACCTTTATGTCGGCAGCGAAGCAGGCTAGCACACGGATCGATCGGGCCCTGATATCGCAGTTGCTGCTTCCTTGTCTAGATTCAGCAGCTCACGTCTCACCGGATGATGCGATCTCGGACCATGGTTTTGCCATCAGGGTTGCTTTCTGCTGCAGCACCAAAGCGAAGCTTGGGCTGGGGGTCTAGAGATTTCTCATTCACGTGCTCAACAGACCGGGAGTAAGGAAGGTGGTGGAAGTAGCGACAAAAAAATCAGGAGGGGATTATTTTCTGCTGCTGGCTCGACTGAATGTGGGCCTTCGCCCTTACGCCAAAGAAGAGAGCAAAAGGGTTAAAGAGACGATGCGTCACTTATCTGTTGCGGTGGCAAGTCTGAAGCAAGCAGCATTGGGTGAGCCTAACTGCACACGGACGAGGGAGCTCCTGAGGGCAAAGGAGGGACAGTTGAGCGGCCGTGACAGGCTTCACCTAATGGCTGGTTATGGTGCGGAACTCTAAGGGGAGGTGGTCTCGAAACACCTATGGGCAAAAGTAAAGTCCAGGAAACAACGCACGCAGAGCAGAGCTCAATGTTAACGGTACAGTGGTTGACGACAAGTAAGGCATTCTTGATGCTACGGCTAAATTTTTCCATGGGCTTTTGGGGGCGGATAGGTGGACTCACCATTCTAGCTTGTTACTGGATCAGAGGTTGTCGGCAGAGGAAGCAGAAGGTCTGCTCAGGAATGGTCGGAGCAGGAGGTTAAAAATGTTTTTAAGACGCTGGAGTGCGGGAAGTCGCCTGGCTTGGACGGGATCCCGGAGGAGCTGTTTGAACTGCATTGGGATGTCCTAGGAGAGGGCTTCATGGGGCTGGCGCGCTCTTTCGCAGATTTCGCGTTGCTTCCCGCAAGCACCAAGGAGGTGGTTACAATATTGCTGCACAAGAAGGGGGACAAGGACCAGATAAATAATTACCGACCTATTACACTCCTCAACTTCACTTACAAAGTATTGGTGAGAGTGGTGGCTGACAAAATAAAAAGGGTGTTGCACCGGGTGATCTTGAAGGAGCGGTACAGATTCATTCCGGGCCAAAGATAGTCTGACGCGGTCAGCCTGGTTGCGGACATCATTG